GGTCAGTCTTGGGATGTCCTTCAACTTCAAGATCCTCCTGGACACACGGAACCTTGTCCTGACTGTCAGTATCGAGAAGCTCACCTTCCAGACATCGCTGTTCAACTACAAGTGGGGTAGGTTTCGCTGCAGCGTAATACATGTACCTACATTTCGCAACAGAATATATGTGTTATTATTTTGAAGAAGACTGTATGTCTGACTAAGGTGTAACTGAAAGACGAGAAACTTCTTTATAGTCTATCTACAGGTAGTTTTCAGCCGTTCAGGCACATTGAACTTGCTCCAAGATTTGTTATTTTCTTATCAGTCACATTACACTATTGTGTTAGTATTCCATCAGTCACATTACACTATTGTGTTAGTATTCCATCAATCACCTTACACTATTGTCTTAGTATTCCATCAGTCACATTACACTATTGTGTTAGTATTCCATCAGTCACCTTACACTATTGTGTTAGTATTCCATCAGTCACCTTACACTATTGTGTTAGTATTCCATCAATCACCTTACATGTAAGGGGAGTCATACCCAACTGCTGAAATATTTACATTGAGTCGTTATTGAACATCAAAATATATGAACACATTTTCAGGTGAATGGGAGCATTTCAACCTCAATGGTGTTGTAAGATTGGAGTAAGTAGCTCTTATATTTTGTGTTATTGTTTTGTTGTATATGAATTACAGTTCATAGTATAGTAAATATGTTTCAAGGGAACATAACATAATATGCTATGATGTAATGTCACATTGCTTGGCGTGGCGTGGCGTGGCGTGGCGTGGCGTGGCGTGATATAACATAATATACCACTTTTACACCTTTGCAAATGTTGACAATAAAAAGTACGAGTTGACGATGATGATGTTGAAACTAGTCTAATGTTATCTTGACAGGCCCATTGATAATATTGTCACGAAATATTCACAAATTTCTAATCCATAAATGCGTGGTAAACGTCTCCGAGCTGCGTCACTTTGGTATGACAGACAGTGATCTAACTAAACGTCTTCAAGGAAGCGTAAACGTGATTCCTCCTTATCCTTAGCTTCAAGATTGACGACCTCGTCCATGCATGGAAGTACCTACAGAGCTTCAACCTGTCCCTGTGTTTTGAGGCAAACGGGCCTTGTGCCATCAGCCTGCCTGTCCTCACTGACGTCAGCTTCCCTAAACTGGTGTGGAATTGGAACAAACCCTCCTCCTCGACTGGAAATGGTATTTAAAAAAAAGCTGGATTGATTTGAAAGTGTTTACCATGGACTATATTTATAAACTCTGGAAATCTGCAATATGTAGGCATAACTTTGTTTATATGCAAACTCAATTCTTATGCAATGATTTAAGTCTGTTTATGCAGGGGCGTTAGTGTGTGTATGCGCGCGTGTATGTTCGTGTTTGTGCACGTGCGTTTGTGTGTGTGCGCGCGTGTGTGTTTGACGCATGTGTGTTTAATCTGATTGGTGTTTGCATCATAGTAAAAAAGGACAACATCTTTTACAAGAGTGACTAGAATAGTATTTTGATGCCATACTTTGGTGGTACTCCTTATAACCAATAGATTCCTGCAATATGTATCAGTAATGCATAACCTAAGGAGGACGTTTTGTCGTGTAACACATTTTGTATACACTGGCGGAATAATATCAACCTTCTCGGTATGTAATATTGTATGTGTGTCATTCTTTGGCAGGTTTTTCATTGAAGAATTGGTTGGCTGATATGAAACTGACCTTTGGTCACCCACTGTCTGGGCTCGCTGTGTCCCAGCTGTTTGACAGACTTGGTATCTCGAGCTTCCTCTTGGACCCCCAGTGTGCCCCGTATGCTGGAGCAGTTGGAGGGTGGAAAAATGGTAATTTCAAAACTGTGCAATGATTCAATAATAATAACATATCTATTTGAACCTCCAACCTTTGTTGAACTCACAATGACGGTAGTACTTCTATAGACGGGATCCATACTATGCTGGCTGCTGTTCTAATGTGGTTGGTGTATAAATGAATTCATCTCATTGAGTGCAATCACAGACAGCTTTGGGCATGACGATAAGGGAAAACTTTCATTAGACATTGCTTGACTGCAGACTGTTAATGGAGGTTTGAATGACCATGAGAAGTATTTTTCAAAGTTTTTTTTACATATTTCTATGTTGCTGACACTAATGCAAATAATAGTATTTTTATAGTAGTAGTCTTCTGTTTATTTACAGTTAGTCATTATGGTTATTCTGAAGGGTCATCATTTTCTGCAACTTCCATTTTTTTCCATTATATTATAAACACATAACTCGACAAATAAACTCGCTGTCACAGATTGCCCTGCCAGTCTCACCCTGCCAACACTACCAGACTCCGTCACTTGTCATCTGTCGGACCCGTGTGGGTCCATACAGTGTTGTATTGACGTGGACTTTGTCGGGAGATCCTTCAACGTCCAGGTCGGAATAGACCCTTGCACCAACACCTTCACCATGGGCATAGAGAAGCTGGTCTTTACCAGGATCCTGTCCAACTACAAATGGGGTGAGCAGGGTGCTGTCTACCATTGTGTGAATGATACAAATAAAACGTAAATATAAGGCTGGATAAATAATGTTGGTGTATCTCGATAAGTAAAATACATCGAGTTTATGAACGAGTTTGATGGAAGGGACATCTTCTATAATGTGTCTCATTTGATGAATCTAAACATGTCCTGACTTAAATTGATTTCTTTACAGGAACTGTGGAACACTTCAACTTGAAGAACGTGATCCATGTAGAGTAAGCATTGCTTTAAGATTGCTAATTAAGAATATTTCAAAATAAGTTCATATTTGCTTTGTCCGAGTTGTAACATGATACATCACTGAGCAAATCAGAAGCTTCAGCTCGTCCTGACTTTCGATGGTCATTGTTTAAAAAATTATATTACCCTATTTTGTTTTTCAGTTTCATGATCGATGACCTATTCGGGGAAAAGAAGTTCCTGATCAACCTCAACATCAGTGTCTGTTTCGAGGAGGATTCTTGTCTGATTTCCTTCCCAGCTCTGAAGAACGTCAAGATTCCCAAGTTGGTCTGTGACTGGGACAGTACAGCTGCTCTTGCAGGTCAGTGATGTGGATGAAGGTTCTACATGGGAGACTCTGTGTGTACACATGTCCAGATTTAACATTTTCAAGCCTTGTTTTTCTGTCGGCTTCGACAGTAATTTTCTTGATGAGAGACAATACATGTATATCAGTACATTTAATGATGATCGGTGAAGTAGAACATAGAATAATGAAGGAAATGTACTCTATTTTTCATTACATTTACTATAAACCTGATAACAGTTCATCTTTAGCACTGCAGGTTAGTTGTCATAACAATCAAAACTGTTTCTTGTTTTATGGAAGGTTTGCATACTAGTGAAACCTATCTTCTGAATCCACGCGCACAAGGAGATTCATGCGCTGTATATACATTAGAGAGGTGGAGGTCAGTGATGTGGACGAGAGTTGTGGAGGTGAAGACCTATACATTCCGCATGTATCCAGGCTTATCGCGTCATACCGTAACATATTTCAGCTTTGTTAATCGCATGTTGTCAGTGTATGAAATAGCTTGCTTCCTGATAAACAATACATCCTGACATTACTGTTTGAACTAAATACAACTAATTAGGGGTGGGTATTGCAGAGAATTTTCATATTGCGATATATTGCGATGCGAAAGCATATATTGCAAGAAGGTTTTTTTAACAAAAAACTACTCATAATCGAGGTAATGCTTGATTTATATAGAAAAAAAACAGAACAAAATCATTATGCTTGATTAAACTTAATTAAAAACTTGAGCATTTCACTCTACCATTGCATATTTTACATACCGCGTTACTCTTATCAATAGTTCCAGTTACCGTGATCTTTGTCAACCCCAATTACTGCCATACTGAAGCTTTTGTCCTTGTATTTTGGCACCACAATAAATTGTTCGTTGTTAGGGGTAGCCAAAACTTCCGGTCTGAAAAACGGAAATATCCAAAGATTTCCGTACGAAGCTTTCCGAATGCATGTCAAAATACCGGTTTTAGATCAGTGTATCGCAATACGTATCGGTTTCATGTCTGAACCGGTAAATACCGGTAAACCGGTTATATTGCGCAGCCTTACAACTAATACATTGATACACTATTAAGGGTTTTCTTCTTGGAAGGTGAGTATAAATTAATGTGCGAGTTTTTCGTAACAATGTACTTTTCATTAAAAGCACCATATAATCATGGTATTTTAACCAAAGTTTATCATCAACATAATCACAGTGTTTCATCCTGTGAAATATAGTTGCTGAACTACGGTTTCTTATTGAAAATAGACAAAGGTCGTAAGTATACACCGTGTATTTCTTGATCAATGTATGCCAGGAGGGGCACGGACAACTGTGTCATGATCATCAGGGCCCCTTTCCTCAAAGCGATCGTAGCGCTACGACAGTCGTAAGTCTATGTTAAAGTATGGGAGTTACGATCACCTTAGCGCTACGATCGCTTTGAGGAACGGGGCCCAGGACATGCATCAATAAATCTTCATTTCAGATCAGAGTATTCATGATAATAATCTCCTGTTCTGTCAGATTTCTCTCTGGCCGACTTCCTGTCTGAAACGTTGTCTACTGGGTCTGAGAGGCTCACTTCAGTCATCGCAGCCAAACTGTTTGAGAGGCTGGAAATAGCGGGATATCTGAAGGCATCACAATGTCAAAATACAAGGAGACCTTATGTGCCTGCAATCAATGGATGGAACAACGGTAGGACCCGGGTTAATAGGTCATATGTTGAACCATCATGTATATATATTCTAATGAGATCATTGTGCTAAATAAACGTCCAAAGCTAAAATTTGATTATATTGTAAAATATTTTCAATAAATGCCAATTTCCAATGACCAAATGGATAAGTTAGAGGCCTGTGCCTTTCCATTACTTCAGAATGTCCAGTTGTGGGGCTTGACCAGTACCTCCTAGACCTCCCTGATTCCATGGCATGTCACGTGCCCGACATCTGTACCGCCGTTGACTGCTGCATCTACATCGACTTCCTGTCACGTGCCTTCAACGTCTTCCTGACAGTGGACATGTGCACCTATCAGCTGACGGTGGGCGTTGAAAATCTGGTCTACAAACGGATGTTGCTGGACTATCAGTGGGGTATGTTATAAGGTTTCACAGGTTTTTTGTTCTGAAATGGTGCTTAGAGATACTTTATCTGAAGGTATCATTAAACAAGGTATTAATAAGTTCTAACATATAACGTTTCTTTTCACGAACCTCAAGTTTCATCACTGTTCTATTTCATTTATTGAAGACCTGTGAAGATCCGGGTTAGAATCGATCTTCAGTAACCCTTGCTTGACGTAAGAGGCAACTAATGGGATCGGGTGGTCAGGCTCGCTGACTTGGTTGACACATGTCATCGTATCCCAGTTGCGCAGATCGACGCTCATGCTGTTGATTACTAGAGTGTCTGATCTAGACTCAATTATTTACAGACCGCCGCCATATAGCTGGAATATTGCTGAATGCGGCGTAAAACTAAACCCACTCATTCATATATTGACACATGTTTCACTGGTACGTTGCCTTTCACCCCTTGTGGAATCTGCTTTGTGGATATTACATTGTATGTATTCACCTGGTTTCAGGTACAGAGGATCATTTCTATGTGAAAGGCGTGATACGTATTGAGTGAGTATTTGTAGTTTTTCTTTTACCTGTATAACATTGTATACCATACGCTTATGGTACATGTTACTGTACCGTACGCTACTGACGGCCACAAACACGCTACATGATAGACGATTTAGTTAAAGATATTGCATACATATATATTATTATAGGATATTTATGTAGCGCACATATCCATGTAACTAGTACAAGGTGCTGGTATTTTTCCCCTCGATCATTGGATGTCAATCTCAACGGGACATCGTATTATCAAGCTCAACTCCCTTGGGACCATACAACTCTTGCAGTCACTAGACTCACCGAGTTATTGCTGCTTTTCATCCTTACGAGGAAACCATTGTATATCAGAAATAAAAACTGAAGCTATCGTGTTTCAGTTACACTATCAACCAGTTGATCCTGGAGAAGAAACTGGAGGTGACTGCAGCTGTCAGTGTGTGTCTGAAACAAAACGAGTGTCTGTTCTCCAAAACCTTCCTTGACAAAACCAAGATACCACAACCCCTGTGTGACTGGGAGGCAAGGCTGCAACAGAGAAGTAAGTTGCTCTGCGGCTGTAACTATAGACGGTTCAAATGTTCCAAATCTAAAGTTACAAGGGCCAAGGTAGAAGCCAATGGTCTTTTTTTAAATTTCTGTATGTCCAACTTGTCTGTTGATAATTGTAGTCATGGTTGTAGCGCAAACACTGAATTTATTTTGATTTAGAACGCACTCGTGTGTGTTCGCACAAATGTGAGTATATGTGAATCAGTTGTTCGATCTTAATAACTGGCATATCTTATATTTTGATAAAACATACATGCACGTGTGGTTGATGATAATATCTCTCTTCCCCCAGATTTTTCCATGTCGAGATGGGCATCAGACAAGGGGCTATCCTCGGTCGTTCCCTCTCTCCCACATACTCTCATATCTCAACTCCTGGACGACCTGGGGGTGTCTCAGTACCTCGTCAGTTCGGCCTGTGACCAATCAACAAGTCCATATTCCCCTGCTGGGATAAACAACTGGAATGGTGGTAGGTATAAACCCACTGGTATCCCAGTTTCGCTGCGCTTCTGTGGCAATACGCATTTTTTCAGAATATTCCTTGAAAATTGTTCGTATAAGAAATTTGTTTTGGGGAATAAACCGGTCACATATGTTTTTTTCCAAGAAACCTCTTTTACCTGCATATTGTTGTGTATACTTTTAGGTATATATGTGTGCTTTACAACTTGTTTAATTTTCACACATATGTGTAAATCAAAATAGTTAATTATTAAGCATAAACATTGCTAAAAAATATTAAACAAATATTTTCCCATCTAAAACTTAATTATCATGAACTATCGCCTTGTGCCTTTTAAATGTGTGAATTTCAATCGATTCAGGAACACCTCCACAAGAAATGTTATCTTGATGTTTAAATTACACAATACATCTTTTTTCACCTTTTCCAGTATGCAGTAACATCATTGTACCACCACTGCCAGACTCTGTGAGATGCTACTTCACCGACAACTGTTCCACTATCGGCTGTTGTGTGGATGTCCCTCTGGTCAATAGAGCAATCCAGATGACGTTTGATGTGGATATATGTAATCTTCAGATTACCATGATATTTGAAAAGCTCTCTGCGACCGTGTCTCTCCTGGAGTACGAATGGGGTACATAAAGTATCAAAATGATCTTAAATAACCTAAAACAAATAACAAAATGTTACATTGATATTACTAACGGTAAATATATGTCCTAATCTTCAAAACAGCACCTGCCATTTCTTTTGATGACCATACCATATATGTGTATATAAATATTTTTCAGGTACAACTGGTGTGTTTATCCTTGGATCCATGGCGCAGCTGACGTAAGAGAAACACACAATTAAATCCATGATTTACCGATGTACAATGTACAATATTTATCTTTGTTGGGGGGCGGTGGGGTAGTCTTGTGGTTAAAGCGTTGGCTCGTCACGCCGAAGACCCGGGTTCGATTCCCCACATGGGTACAATGTGTGAAGCCCATTTCTGGTGACCCCCGCCGTGATATTGCTGGAATATTGCTAAAAAAAGCGGCGTAAAACCAAACTCAGTCAGTATCTTTGTTGGACGTAATGTACAGACTATAAAAACATTTGATATCAATGTTAAAATATCGTTGGTGCTAACACACAACATCTGATATGAATGCGTACGCCTCGTATCTTACATTCAAAATAGCGATTCATTTTTAAGGATTTCTTATGAAATGGAGGCCTCTTGACCAATGGTCACTTTGACGAAGGGATGATCACAGTGGTTAGAAATGATTCAAATGTACCACTGAGGAAACAAATCATACACTATGTATAACAGCTTGCCAATACAATGTCACCATAGGTACAAAATAAAGCATATCCCAGAGTCCCAGAAGCTGGTGGTTGACATGCTGAGTATCAAGATATGCTTCGAGAGCAACTCGTGTATATTGGAAGTTCCAATCTTGTCCAACTCGGAGCTCGTCTATTCTCCGTGCAACTCGAGTCTACCAATGCCATTAAGAGGTAAACAATATAAATACGTAAATTGCGTTTAGAAAGGTTGACGATAAAGGCCATGTAGAGGCACTTGAAATGCTTGAATGCTATTACGCTACATGTAACCCAAATCATGTATATTTATGTTACAGTAAATGTGTCAAATCAGGAAATGTGTAAATTTCCTGGAATATTTACACATTTCCTGATTTGAGGGCCTGAGTTTTTTTTACACATTTCCTAAAAAGGCGTGTTTGCTTAATTTGCAATGAAAACAGGAGAATGGCCAATATATGCTAATTATTTAAAGCCAGTCACAGAACATACTACTGAGCAATGACAATGTTAAGAGGATAATACTTCGAATATAATAACAAAGTGTTTAATCCTGTTGGTAGGAAATGTGCTTATTATTTGAAGTCAATCACAGAACAAACAGACGAGCTTAATCTTTTGACATCAAAACGGAACAATGACAATATATAGTCTTACTTCAACCATGAAATCGTTCCAAGAACAACTGCTTCCAGAGACTTCCTGAACATTTACAACGCCGTTCATTCATTCAATCATCCATTCAATCATTTATTCAATCATACATTCATGCTGGACAACAAACAAGAATAATTGGACGTGTTAAAACTGATATCTGTAAAAGAACCATAGGCATGAGTGCCCTGTCCCCCGCGGTAAGTCATTTCTGTTGTTCAGTTTGCTATCCAATATTACCAGTGTTGCTGAACAGTATTTACAGGATGTTGTAATATTATTACAAAAAATACGATTACTTCATATCATAACATGTTCATGATTGAAACGTCATGAAAATCGAGTATCTCAACCAAAGAAGTGATCTTCACACTGGTATTATGTTGGCAGGACTGTCCCTTGACTTTTGGGAGGTTGAAAAGTGTGCTCTTCTAATGTCGGGTAAGGCCATTTATCATTTACCTGTCCAACTGAAACTTAAGTCTTCAGCAATAGGTATTTACATGGGGAAAAAGACAAAGTATGAGCAAAACATTTTATGATGAAGATGTATCTTGTAATTTACTTCTCACATGATATTTTTATCGCAACAATGTTGATCTAGCATTATTTATGATCGGCGAGTTGTTTGACAATAAACTAGGATCAGATCAGACTCATTGACCTGATTGATACATCGTATCCCAATTGCGTAAATCGATTCTCATGTTGTTGATCATTGGATTGTCTGGTCCAGATTCGATTATTTTTTACATATAGCTGGATTATAAAAAACAAACAAACAAATCTTACTTATCAACACGATCTGTGCCTGTATATTCATAATGATAACGCCATTCAGGGAGATTATTTATTTCGAAATGAAGAGAAAACGGGAGTGAGAGACTAATACTTTCAGTAAAATACTATATCCTTTACGGAAAAATATTTTGTAAATCTTGTACTGAGTAGATTGCCCAACACCTCTCTCCACGGCTATCTCGAGCACCTGCCGCCTGACTGACAACTGCATGGGCATCACGTGTTGTGTGGACGTCGACCTGAAATACCTCGGCATCTACTCCATCTCTGCCGGTATCGAGGTTGACCACTGCAATGACCAACTTGTGTACCATATAGAGAACAAGGAGTGGACAAAGACGCTTCAGGTAGTGGAATATGGTGAGTAAGGGCTGAATTTGCAGCGACCATTTACAATGAGGTGAGGTGAGGTCAAATTGGGTTTAACGTCGTGCTTGAGAATATGTCGCTCATATGACGACGTGCATGCGTGTGTATGTGTATGTGCGGCTGCTTGTACTAGCCCAGACTTAGGCTGGTTTTATAGTGCTAGCCCACTGAGATACCATGCCGCAGTGAAGCATGAATACCCCACTCAGACACAGTATACTGACTCCGAGCCGACCAGTCCTTGTTGTACCCAATAATGCCGAGCGCCAGGCAGGAACCAACACGTGCCACATTTTAACGTCTTTTGGTATGACGCGGTCGGGGATCGAACCCGCAACCTTCCGCTCTCCGGGCGGACGCTCTAACCACTACACCACGGAGGCGGTACCATTTACAATGAAAGATCAACCACAGTCCACTGAAAAGGTCGGAAAATTCAAATTTGGCATGGTGTATAGTGTATGTTTCTCCAGGAATGATGCAGAAATCTAACGTTTTGGAAATAATTATAATTTTATTCAGTTTCTGTGTGACAGTACAGATATTACACGCTGGACTTGAATTTGCAATCATGACTCCTGTGTCATGTTGATAGCGATTCATAAAACGTTTTGTTTTCTGCCCTCAACCGAAACACCTCGAGGTAAATGTCCCACATCAAATGTGTCAAACCAATAACTTTACAATCATGTAATGGATGTTTTTTGCCAGATTTGGGTAATCCCGGGCAACGGCTTCTTTGGTTACAGGAAATGTGCCGGGCAGAGTTTGATAGAAATCTTGTATTTTTGCCAAGAATAATCACCATGAAGTTGTTGTTCTGA